CTGTATATTCTTGTAGTATTTCCTGTCTCTTATTGTTCCCCTTCCTTCCCGCAGGTAGAGTCACCGTGGACTATCAGAAAGCTCAGCGGGACTCTCTGCTGGCTGGAGGTGAGCCAGTTATTACACAACAAAATTAGATTTAGAACTCCAGAGAATGATTTACTCTCACATGCTTACTTACTTGTTTATTTAATGGGGACAGTGCACTTAATTAAACATTATTTTAAATGTGCCAGAGCGCTAATTAAAGACTAGCCAGGAGGCACATTTTTATCTGCCATCCCTGATCAGATGTCCACTGACTCTTCGCCTGCAGTGCTTTTACGTTGCTTAAACAGTGGAAGTGCTGGAATTAGCAGGCTCGCTTTTGTGCCTTTTGTGGCTCTAGAAGGAGCTGTATGAAAGCTGATAAATTGCCTCGAGTGATGTCACTTGAGTCAGCGACAGTTGGGGCTGAAGACTACAAGTTTGAAAATGAAAAATATCTGGAGGTGTGGAGTACAAAGAAGTGAGATTACCAGACCTCTGTAGTCTGCTTCTCACCTCTGCTTGAGGCTAGCTGCTTGAGGCTAGCAGCTTGAGGCTACATTAGCCACTAGCTACTCCGCAGTTGAGTTGCATTGTGGGCTATGTAGGTGTCTTTTACAAGTTTTACAAGGAAGAAGAAAGATGTGGAATAAAAAAATGATATTTGTGGTTGTGCTGCATTGATTTAGATAAAAAGTTCCCTTTTATTTCATGCTGCACTGTGTGGATCCGTTTCTGTTCCCCCCTGCTCATATCTCTACTTTGGACTTAGGAGTTTGTCTACTTTATTCTGCCATTATTTTCTGCAGTTTGTATTTTAGACAATCAGACAAGCTTTATAAAAACACTGAAGTGTGAATCTTAAAATAACAATGTGAATATGACTAAGAATGTCATAACAAGAAACAGAAGCTCAGCTCTTTTATTATCCTCTTGTAACCCTTTAGACTTGTGGTTGCCTCTGATCACGGCTCAGCATCCATTGAACAAACTTGTTTTGACTGGCGTGTAGGCTGGATGTGTTATAGTGATTAGAGAGGTGAATATCGGTGTCTTTCACACATACACACATGGTTTCCCTCTAAATATGCTGACAGTTGCATCAGTGATTTGAAGACACATTATAGACAGGAGCTGATTTTTAAGAAACTCCCATCACTGACTCTGTAAAATAATGTCCACGCTCTATCCATGTCACTAACATGGGCCTTCAGTGTGAACTACAGGGAGTTAATTGTTAGACCTGGGTTCTGTACAACAGCAGTAACAGGTGTTCCCAATTCAAAGAGCAAATGATAGGGTGTGTGTGCGGTCTGTCTGCTCACAATCGCCACCAGACAATCAGTTGTGTGTGTGGTGTGCGTGAACGGCATCAGAAATAGGAGTTTGCTGATGTTGTCGATGTTGTGTTCAGTTTTGTTTTTATGCCTCTGTGCCGCCGCTGTTTTAAAGTCCGTCCATCCCATACATTTGTCCGTTCGTCTCATTCTTATGTATGCGAGTAGTAAAGTTTCTCACTGGAATCATGCATGTCATCATAGTGATAAAAATACACTTACCTATACCTATACTATACCTTTTTATTAAATTTCTTCAGTCTTCACATTATATATTATGAGTCTTGACTGGTTGGCAGAGGCATTTTACTGCGTGGTGGTAATTCTAGCTGTTTTTTAGATGACTGCACAAGTATAAAATAGTGATATAATCTTTTAAGATAAAATCACAGGTTTGTTCTTCAGTGTAACCATACATACAGATCAATTTTGACTGTTCATACCAAGAAGCAGCTTCTCTTAGTAATTCAGATAACTTTGCTGAGTAAAACCTGAAGTAGGTTGGTTTCATGTCAGCCCTTGTTCTAGATTTGAGGAGGTTTCACATTTTACTCAGCAAAGTTCAGATCGAGATTACTCTGGAAAGGGGCTTCTTGGAACAGGGCCCTGAACTGTGAGAATATATTGACACACAAAATGAATAATCACTGGGAGATTTGGCTTCTTAACATTTCTGAGATATAGTATATTTACAGGTGTAGTTTTGTCAAAGAGTGTGGTTCTTCTGTCCTTGCTGCATCGCTGTGGTGTTTCTCCACTTTAGGCGGTTTAGTTTAGAGCTCAGATTGTAGAGCAAGCCATGCATTTGCAGGAAGTGGTAAAGGAAGCGGTAGCCCCTAATCACCACATTGTGGCAAATAAGACTTCAGAGCTCTGTATGTATCCACATACACCCAGATTACACGTAGATCTAGTTGCTATAAACTGTGGATCACACTCCCAGAATGCATCTCATGCAAAGCTGAATTTGTAGTGGAAGCAAGGGGTAAATGGGAGGCCCACCGCAGATACCCATGGCACATGTTTATTTCACATGTTGATGGCACCCTCGCATGACTAGAAGGATGTACCACACATGATCGGGCTGCATCCTGCTATTCCCACAGTGACTGTGTTTCACTTAGTGACTTACTGACTAGGAGACTGCTCCCTTACAGTCACTATGTTTATGTTCATTCACTCACTGTGATACAGAGTAACATAAGATTGTGGCAGGTAGAAAGTTTTCAGTAGAGATGGTTTTTCTAGATTTGTGTGACGAAAAGGGGGAAGACTGCTGAGTCTTACTTCAACTTCCTTAACAACATCTTCATTATCATCAATCTCAGCAGGCATCAAATACACAAGCAGCCAATCACAGTTCTTGTAGTTTTTCTCATTCTGTATTTCCATTTTATTTTTTTCTTTAAACAATTGCCTCAATTTTACTGATCATAGAAACACAGAGCTCTTGGATGATTCAGTCATACAGGTTCATGGTATGGCCATCAGTTTGAATTATTTTACTTTGTTTTTTTAGGAATCAGTTGACCTCAAAATGAAAAGTGTGACTGACTGTGATTGTGTTTTCATTTTTCTCAACACTGATGCTTAGCTTCCATTTGCCATTAGCACGTAACAAAATGTTGAATTAATTGATTGAAATGTTTCTTGCCAAAATGCACCTTAAGAGTCACACTTAAGGTCTAACTCAAAATGTACCTTCGTCTTTTTTACCAAAGAAGCAGATATTTTCCGTCACATTGTCTGTCACATTTGTGAGTAGGTGCACATCGGCCAACAAGTACTGTCAATCATGCTTAAATCTCAACTGACTGACAACCCAGGCGTGGTGCTCAATATGGACCTCTGCTGTACTTTATTCTGTTATTGTTGGTGCTCAAGATGGTTGTCATCGGCAGTTCTTTCATGCTTTCAGTGACAACAGTTGTGCACGAACACATACATCTGCTGACACAGATGAGGCTATTCAATAGACGATCCTTCATTAATGTTAGGGACACATTTGAGCTCACACTAGTGTGTCCCAGAGCACCTACAAGTATTTGTTGAGTGATAGCATCCCAGAGTGTCCTCATTACGTGTCAGGCACACATGGTCGCCACTGATCAAATCACCAGAGACGCTTTTGGTTGCTAATTATAAACAAGCCGAAGAGGCTGCTTGGAGGAGTTTGGTTTCCTACACCGTGGCCACAGTTTGAGAGGTAGTACTGTTTCCTGTTGTGGTGACAGTGGAGTAAGGAACAGTCTTCACCTGCCTGGCATCCCTTTACTGCTCGTCAGTCAGTCAGCAGAGCTGTCAGCTCCTATTGACAGGCCAACTCGCTCAATGCCTGTCTACCCCTCCTCCTCGTCCTCCTCGTCCTCCTCCTCCTCCTCTTCCCTTCACCTTGTGCTCTACAATAGATTCTTCTCTGTCTTTGACTGCCTGTCTGTCTGTGTGTCACAGCTGAAATCAGCTCTGCTCCCTCACTCCATTCTCCCTCTCCGCTATCTCTCTTTTATGTTCTCGCTGTCTCGCGGTCTCGCCTCGCTTCTGCCTAACATTCTCCTTCCCCCTACCACCTTATCCCACCGCCATCCCCTCTCCCCCTCCTCCTTCCATCTGCTGCATGTTTACTTGTCCTCAGTCGACTGCGCTGGTGTGACTGTGAGTCCCCCCCTCCGCAGCAGCAGACCTTATTTACACTCCTGCTAAACAAGCCCAAGGGAGAGCATGATCCCTGATGACACGCACTTCCAAGCTCGCAACACATCCTTAACAAGCCACAAAGAAAAGAAAAGAAAGAAAACGCGGGATAAAAATCTCTGTTTCTGTCTCCAGGCTGTGTGTCCATTAGTGCAGAGAAAATCTGAGAGCGAAGGCTGTGATTAAAGAGAAGCAGCAATTAACAGGCCAGGGTTGCAGAGGTGTTTAAGAGTTGTGAGCCCCTGTTTTGCCAGCTCTATAAATGAGGAGTTGTTAGGAGTAATTAGCGAACCAGCAACTGCAATGCACACCAATGGGGGCCAGTCTTCAACCTAAGGAAAACGGGGAAGAATCATTCCTGTGTGGAAATATGTGGCTGAACCAAGCCTTTTATGGCTGCAGTTATTTTCATTATCGGTTAATTTGGTCCAAAATATCAAAAAATTGTGAACAATGTCAATTACTGTTTCGCCTAAGGTGAAACCTCAACGGTCTTCTTTTGTCCACAAACCATAGAGGAGTAAAGAAACCATACACCTCACACACAAACTCAAAATGTTTAATCACTCAACAATTATCAAAGTAGTTGGCGATTAATTAAATAGTTGACAACAGACTGATCAGCTAATTGTTGCAGCTCTTGTGTCAGTTTCCCTTTCCTTCTCTTATTGAATAAAAACATTTTTTGTGTTGGATAGCTTTCTGAGTTGTCCGTTCTCGTGTTTTTCAGACGTACAGCTCTGTGCAAGACGTTCTGGTGTCATTTGGACGGAGGGTTTTGTGCTACCCCCTCTACAGACACTTTGCCATGGTCTCTGCGGCTGTTCGTGACACAGCTAAGATTTTGCAGTCAGGTGAGTCTCCTAGAAGCGCTACAACACCAACCCCGCACACACACATTGTTGAGATTAAGCTGCTAATAAAAAGACAACCAGCATTCTTTCATGGTAGGCTGCCGGACAGACCCAGAGTTTGGAGAAAGTGGTTCATGAGCACACTGCGACGTTGTGTTTGAAAGTCAAATTCCACCAGCTAAGCAAGAGTGGCCCGACTCCCACCTCCTCAGGGAGCGAAATGCGGATTAGCTGAAAACGGACTGTTGACTTTCATATCTCAAAGCTCAGAGTAATCTTTAAATCAAAAGCCCCCGCAGACAGATGAAACTCTGCAGTGTAAACACATGCAGGATGTGTGAGGGCTACGATTATCCAGCTTGTGATGATTTTAACGGTGGTAAATGACAGCAAATTAAAGGCCTTTTAAGCTCCAGATTAGCATTTCTGCGCCTCATTAAGTAGGAAAATGAGTTGATCAGGAAAGCCAGGGAAACAGAAGTTGGAGCCGCTCCTTTCTCTCACCTTCTTTCTCTTTCCTCCGAAACCCTTTTTCTGCCATAATAAAGTTTCTCATGTTCATCTGGAGCCTGGAAATAGTTTCAGTGCTTATGACAGCTCATACAACATCATAATTTGGCTCTTCTTTGTCCAAAAACAGCCAACTGATATGTTTATGTATGCTGTCAGTTTATTAAGGAGAAAGGCTAATTATTTCACTATTATTTTTTATAATGTTCACGACTCATAACCTTCATTATTTGCAAGCATTAGGGAAGTATGAGTAATAAGGCTTTTCCTTAATGAACTGTAACACTGCAGTAATTTGGCCTGGCGTGTGTCTGAGGGTGTGTTTCCTCTCGGCATTACTTTACACACTAATTAATTTGTCAGGATAAAGCAAATGGAAATGCACGCTCCATGTTTGAGGCACTTCATTTAAGTGGCTGTGAAAGCAAACATTCATAGGTATTAGCAAAACAAACCCATTAATGGCAGCGCACAGGTTAGGGTCTCGGAGGAAATGTTATCCGGGGGTAAATATTTGAACAGCCCTCTGGCAGCATGGCGAGTATTCTCAAGGAGCTCCTCCACCTGCCTCCTAAGTGGCTGTAACTAAGAGCTACTGGGCAGGTACAGAAGAGCAGAGGGGGGCCTGGAGTCAGGAAGTGTGGAGGAGGACCTCTGGGTCTTGCCGCTGTCACGATTGGACTGACAGGACAAGACAAGAAATGTCAGATGTGGTCCTCTGTTACAGATCCATCCAGCATGCTTCCCTCTGCTGTCATTCATTCAGGCACATTTTAGGCTGGTCATGGCATTTCTTCAGGAAATCTGAGTGCGAGGGCAGGGAAAGTTTGGGAATTTAATCTATGGGAGTCAAGCACTCTGACCTAGTTATTGCAAATGAACTTAGAGTATTTTACAACCAGGGCAGGGTGTGAACACTTTAGATTCAGGGTAGTGATGGTGTTTTATTGGATGTGATGCATGGATTGTGTGTGTATGTGTGACAGAGGAAAAAAAGGAAAAGACTGAACGAGAGCAGGGTGACTGTAGGGTCTTAAAAAGTCTTAAATTCGTAATTTTAGCCCTTAAAATGTCTTAAAATATTTCAACTATAATTTTGACAGGTCTTACAAATTGGTTGGATTAATGAAGTACGTGTTTACATGTTACATTTTTCAATTCGCTTTTAAATGTGTTTCTGAGAAATATTTGTGTTGATCATGCTGTCATATGAACATAAAATATATCTTAAATTGGATTCATAATGCACGAGAAAAAGTCTTAAAATGTCTTAAATTGAACCTGTTGAACCCTGCAGAAAACCTGGAGAGGCAAAGTATAAAAGGAGATTCTGATAATATATGCTACAATATGTCCATTTATTTTAACTACGTGTTCTAAAATGCTTCACATTAGACCAGACACTGGATGAAGATGTGCCTCTCCCACCTTTCAAGCACATTGTCATCAGTGGTAAAATCAGACAAACACAGAACTCTTCCTGCTGCTTTTTCTGACTTCTGAAAGCTACCTCTGTTCTTGCTCTCAGAAGCTGAAAAGCGAGAGGGGAGAATATATTACTCACCTGAATCAAAAACCTTTAGCTCTCACATGTCTGGAAAGTACAAGTAAGGGAGATCCCCTATTCCTTATATTACTTATTTTATCAATGAAAACCTCAACCCAGGCAGTAAGGCAGTCTTTAGTCATTAAACCAATAAGAATATAGTCTGCATCATCACATTTGTCTTTTTGCAGATGATGTACTTTTATTTTTGTCCGAGGTGCAGCAGTCCTATTATTCGGGAGATTTTGAAAAAGTGTAACTTCCTTTTAAGTTACAAACTCAACTGGACAGAATCTGTGTGATGCTGGTATATACCACAATATTCCAGTCATTTCTCATTTTAAATATATATTCCTTTTTAGAAAACACTGTGAGAAAGAATTCTGCTCAAATAACGAATGCTGTTCAAACTGATGTGGGTAGCAGAGGCAGGATTCCAATCATTAAAATTAATGTTCTACCTAGAAAAGATTTTTACAGTTCCATCTTATCTTTGTCTCTTCCAACAAAGTACTGGGAACATTTACATAAAATAATCTCTCAGTTCATATGGAAATGCAGACATCTCAAAATGAAATCGTAATGTGATACAAATTCCAAGTTGGATGATCTTTAATGTTATACTGTATACTATATACATACTGTCAGTATCATTTTTGATTATATTATGAATTCTTAAACCACAAATATGATTATACCTATACAAATGTGTTGGAATAAAGCAAGGAATAGAGAGAAAAAATTGTCATTTTCACTTTGCTGCCTCTGCTGTTTTTGGAATCTCTACATTTTTGTCTAGACACAGCAGGCTTTGTTTTTGGTCCCCTTCACACCCACCACTACATCTATGCAAGCCTGCTCATTCAGCAGCCATGAAAGAATTTGGATTCTTCTTCACTCATTGGACCTTCACTTGCCTAATTAATACACCTTGCTCACGTCTCACTAAGAATATCAGCGTTCAGCTGGTGCAGGGAGAAACCTTTCCTCTGATTTTCTACAAACCACTCATAAATCTTCCTTGTGAAAAAGAAGCCAGATCTTGGAAGCCAGTATATTTTTGCCTTACATGATCCAAGTTCTGAATTTGAGGGCAGAGTTCCCTGCATACGATCCCATGCTTAAATGAGAACCAAATGTTTGTTTAAGGTTTTCCCCACTGCGAGTGCGCTGTTTATTTTGATTGGGTTGGAATGTCTCTGGACAATGCCAACCAGCTCCGCAGAGGTGAAGAGGAGCATTTTCTCTTGCCCTCAGTGGATTGTTGGCCACATCATAAGGCTATTTATATGCCTGATTGGAAGGAGAAATGCTGTGGCAGTTTGGCTTGTTGTATACTTCAGGGAAACGTAATTTGTCAGAATAACAAATGGCGATTCAGCTGATGCATTTGTGGTGCTGAAAGCTGCAGCATGCTCGCTAAAGTGATCTCAAAACGTATTTCCAAAGTGCGGGTGTCAACCATAAACCATGTCATATGCACCGTAACAAAAAGCCCCCACTATTTAATAGATAAACATTTTTGATAGTTTACATACTTTGGGTGGCAGATGATTTGTTTAAATTATGATTAAGCTCAAATCTTAATTGTAATTAATTGCATACTGCATCACATGCTGACAGATAGCACAGGGAATCCTGCACACACAAAATCCACATTAACTTGAGACAAAGTTGAAATGGAATAAAGATTAGTGAAAAGACAAGTACATGTATATATGCATTAAAACTATGTAGTGTTGTATACTTTTGGTGGGTGTAAACAAAACTATAATCTGCACTGTGCGTTTAAGTTGTTAAGGCATCAGTTCGCCCCAGTCCCCAAAGAGCACATATTTCCTCACTAGCATGTATGTGGGATCTAACTATGCAGAGAGTTGCGGTTTTATGTGCCAAGGTTTTGAGATATTCATCTCGATTTCTGCTGCCTCTGCCCCAATTCCATCGAGGTGAATTGAATTTGGTTTGTGGTGCTCAGAGCAAAAACAATGGAGTTTCATAAACCACACAAATACATCTTCATTGGCAGAAGACATTTGCATTCAGCCTGAGGGTTGGGGAACAAGCTCAAGCTGTTTTTGTTTTTTAGACTGTAATTATTGGCGTTAACAGCACCACGAGTAATTAGTGCTAGTCAAAGTCACGAGTCCCAATCAAGCTTAAGCCCAGTAGTATAACATTTGTATAGCTGGGCCATTTCCAAAGTTTTGCAATGGCTAATTCAAACAGCAGGCTCCACCAGTAGCTCTGTCCATATTTCAGACCACATACGTATTCTAAGCAGATTTTGAGTCTGTAGTGTGTTCACACTAGAGTGGCAAAATTAAAGCAGTGTTATTCACAAAAAACAGACTACTAGCCTAGAAAGCTTTGACAGCTTGATACTCTCCATTTAAGACCGGACAGGGTTTATAGAAAATGATTTTCTTGAGCGTTTTATAGCTTCAAGCTGTGTAGTTAAGTGACCAGTTTTGGAAAAAACACTCTAGTTTATTACCTTGCTGGATTGAATCATTGATGTCAGGGCTTCAGGTTTGTCAGATCGAAAGCAAAATTAATTCAGATTAGGACTATAATGATGATGCACAATAGCTGAATGGGCAGACTTGAATAGCTGTCAAGTGGGAAATCATCAAAAACATTCATTGCTATTTTTTGACAGATCAAGGCAAACACATTTCTGACAGAAAGTCTGAGCAGAGCCACCATTAAATTGACAGAATGAATGCCAAAAATAGAGTTCTCTTCTTTGACTCTTTTGTCTCAGTTGAACCACTTCTTAACCAGGAACTCTTCTTAAACCGTATGGATCAAATTACTCTGCAGCTCGCTGGGATTTTCCTCTGATCCTGTACCTTGGCTTTTATGTATGGAACAATGACTGCAAGCCTTTAGATGCATGCTGTGTCTGCCAGCAGCTGGAGTGCATTGTCATCCTTAATACTGAGCGCGAATATAACACTGTTTTTCCATTTGCCTGCCACGGTCTGTTCGTGTGCCCAGGGAAAGCCTGCGTCCTCAAATGCCTGCTGGATATTCACAAAGTCTTCAGAGAGAACGACCCGGCCTACATACTGAACGATCTGTACATCACAGATTACTGCATCTGGATCCAGAGAGTAAAGTAAGTTCACCAACACACACTCATAAACCCATGCACACACGCCTCAGAGACCTTCATCTTCAGAGAATTACCTTTAGATCCAAGGGAAGTGCCACTCAAGCCCCTGTGATGCATCAGTGCTTTAGAGGAGAGGATTGGACGAGTCATTTGTCACAGCAGGGCCAGTTGAATGACCAAGCCAGCGAGAGACGCAATCTCCCTCGTCTCCATTATCCTGTGTCAAAAGTACCATCAGTGAGTCTTAAAAGAGCCAGCTGCACTCGGCGGATTCACTCTGCATGACACTTTTTAAGAGCGCACACGTGTGTGCTGAGGCTCCTCATATCTTCTGTGGGTGTAGCCCTCCACTTTAGCAGCACAAGCCAATCATGCAAAACCTGCACCTTTTCTCCAAATGATATATGTTTGATGGGTCTCTCCTCCTCCTCGTACATATTTTGCAATTACTTACACATTTCAAATGTGAGCCTGCGAGCACATTACTCAGTAATGAGCTCTGTTTTACTCTTGGCCAGAGTTCAGCCAAGTGGTGTGCTCGTCTGGAAAAAGCCCAGTTGAAAAATGTGTGCCTGATGTTGTAGGCTCGGCGCCCAGATGCAGACACGATAAAAGGTCTGCAGAGATTTAGCGCCCCCCCTCCCCCTCCCCATGCACATCCACACCCCCACATACATTCTCACTTCTACATTTTTCCAGCAGAAGTCTTGAATTCTGCTCTTAAAAATGCTATGGACGCTGGTGATCTTAATGGGTGTGAAAATCAATAGCTCTGTTGAGGTTGGTGGGATCTCTTTTTCTAAGAGACCAGAGAGAAGACACACTTTTAAAGGCTTTCTATCTTACTCTGTAAGCACATAGGGCTCCTGCAGCTCTGTCAACTCACTGAAAAACTCAATCAGTCTTGTCTCAGCTGAGAAGCACCAGAGCAGTGCCTCCCTCGCACTCCCTACTCCTCCTCTCTTTTCCTCCGCTGTACATTGGAACTAAATGTCAGCTTGACCTAACATGCTGACTCTTACTACGTCCTGCATCGATCATTTAATGGATTAGTCCTTGCTCTCGTAGGACTGACCTGCGATTGAGTTGTTTCCTTTTTCTGTTTGCTTTTTTTCTGTCAATAAAAAAATCAAGTTTACAGTTGTTTTAGCTTCTCGTGTAAGTTGCCATGTTGTAAAAAAGACATTCGGAGTAGTAAAACCACTTCTATTTCCTCCTACCACAACCAGTAGGAGTGTAATGTTAAAAGGAGCTTACAGTCCAAATGCAAAGCAACACAGGGAATTCTAGTCCTGCAGTTTCCACAGACCAGCCCTCGTTATCATACATGCCGTCTGTTGTGGCAGCCCTTTTGTGTTGTCTGACAGGTTTGATGACAGATCGTGTAGGCATTGTTTTCTTCAGTGCGAGATACTCCCCCGTGCGGGGTTTGTCATCCTTCGCTAAGTGAGTCGTCTCTGGGAGCCGAGCGGTAAGATGAGATGTAATCTATACCCCCTGGTGCTGTCCCTGTATCTTGTCACTTCTCCCAGTCGACGAGGCAGACGCGATCAGCTGCGCATGATGGACACACAGATTAATGGATGTTTGCTGGCTGGAGGGTTGATTTATTTAATCTCTTCGCTGTCCCACGTGCATTTCTGCTCCTAAAGTTCATCTGACTGCCGAGACATCAGTCTCAAATTTACTACCTCGTAAAGACTTCACTGTGATTTAAGCGACAGGGCAGGCGCTCCCCTTTACTCTCACACACACAGTCAGGGCAAAAACGTGCACATTGAAATCTAAAGTGTAACCTCAAAATAAATACACATTGTCTAAGTGATGTGGAACTTTATTTTTTCGCCGCCGTGGTCACCATCCCAGAATTTAATGCACACTTCTTTTGTGTTTAAAGCCTCACACACCCATCCAATCCTAATTATCTCCAATTGTTAGCCCAGAGTATTATTCCAAATGGAGCAGCAACCTCTCCAGTCCATTAGTTTCAGGGTATGCTTTTGAAGGTCCTCAGATGCCAAAGCCCCTGCAGAGCTGCTGGACTGCAGAGAAAAAGCGAGTCGCCTCACTTTTCTCTCTCTTTGTCGTCTTTCCCTTTATCAAAAAGCTTGGAGAGAGGCCAACGTAGATTCACGGCAGCCAGCACAGACAAAGCCTATAAGCCTGGTGTTGTGTTACATTGCCTCAGTTAAATCAGAAGGGCTACAACTTCCTCTTCCAGCGCTGGCTCACGTGCAACCAACCACCCACCCACCCTTATTAATTGGGTCAATTAGATTCCAGCAGGAAAAAAAAACATGGCAGCGTACTAGTGATGTGCTCCAGGGTTCGTCTGAGAGGAGGGGAGTGAGGTGAGATTCATGTTTCCATATGAAGTCATTAGTGGAAAGGAAAAAATTGCTTGTGCGTGTTTTTTTTACTTTTGTGGAGTGAATTTGTGACTTGTCTATAAGATGTGTGAATTGTACAATCACACATTGATCCAGAGACTGGAAAATTGACAAGAAATGGTTTTGGGACAAGCCAAGCCAAGCCTCGCACCATAACAACTGAATGGACCGACTCAATTGTAAAAGGGAAGTGTGAAGTGAGCAGGGTGTTGTTTTCACTCAAAGAAATAAAGTGTGCCGCACTGCATGAAAATTACAGAGCAAACTGTCAAAAATGAAGTTCTAGACTTCTTTCTGAGACCGTCCCTTTTACATACTCTCTTCCTCCCTCGTCCCATTCGTCCTCGGCATTGTGTGCATGACAGTGGTCGTTAGGGAGAGTCGGCATCTCTGACAGCAGCTCCCCCGCAGGGAAAAGCATCTGCAGCTCAAACAACTGGGAACGTCTCAGGGCAGCGAGGTCAAGCATGGGGGTCAGCGTGTCAGCTAAGACCTGCAGTCAAACGCCCTGGAAGTGCACTTGGGCATGGTGGCGTGGTGTTAATACCCATCCCCCCCGTAGAGCATGGCTGGTCAGTTCACCTCAGTACACCTCTCTTTGTGATTATAAAGCACAAAGCTCTTATTATCCAGATTTTCCCATCGGCTACTTAATGTGATAGGTGTTTTCATTTTACTTGAACTCAGGGGCTTTTCCCGGAGAATTAAAATTAGGTGTTGCAGGATGTTTCTGTAGTTTGACGCTCCTTGCGTGGAAGAAAAAGAGGATTGTCTGGTAGCCGAGCCTGGCAGCTTCCTGGTGTCCCCCCTCAACCACACAGCTGATGTTACAACCAGATGTTTGCTGGGAAGGACCACCAGGCAGCGTCACGCAACTGTCAAACGCCCGTCCTGAAGCCTTTGAAACAGATAATGGAGCTGCTCTATCTGATGTTAGCCTCAGCACTGAAGGAGATCCTAGAGGCCCCGCTGGGGAGAACAAAGACACAAATGTCTCCCAGCTAACAGGGATAAGTAGTACAGATTTCCTCCCAGCAGGTGGCCACTCCAGCGTTTTGTCTTGAGTACACAGGCTCATCTTAAACACAGACTTTGCATAATTTCCTCTATCCGTGTTTGGAGTGCCCACTCTAGTTATTACAATCGATTATAGCGTAGGGATTTTTTTCTGTCTTGTCAGCCTCAAAGGGCTGTGCATCCAAACGGATGCTAATTCATTAATTCCTCGTCATTTCTGCTGCTTTCCGAGATATAAATAACAGATATATTAACAGTTGAATACAACGCAGACAGACTGAATAACTATTAATACAATTTCTCAGGGATTACATCAATCAAAATGTGTAAAAGTAGTAAAGAACTTAAGATAGTTTGTTGTAAAGATCCCAACAATACATCCTATCCATCCAATAGTTGTTAAGATATTGGACCAAAGTGGTGGGCTGTTCATGTGAGATTGTCATCACCACTAGCAAAGCTAAAAAACTGTGCGCTTGTACAAGTACGTAGAGTCAGGAAGTCAGCAAAACCCAGTTGACATTTACAGAGGCAGTGGCTAACAATTTGAGTAGCTGGCCAGGTTTTCTGATCCACAGTGTGTAAAACTGGGGGATATCTGTCAAAGTGACAATGACATCAAAATGTCTTACCTGACAGTCAACAGATATATTTATATCAGTGTTTGTGCAGTCCAACATGTCTTTCATAGGCAGCTATAAGTCTGAACTCGTTTCTCATTTCTAGAATCAAAGTGGCATCCAGTGCCTCGGACCGTTCCAGTATTCAGTCACACTGACGGATCACATCTCCCAGTGTCTCAGCTTTTATCCCCCTCAGCTAGTGAATGATGCATTTTGCGAGGTACACTGAGGAAATCTGGTGCTCATATTACACAGATTTATGCATCTGAAGACAAGCTTTATCTGAGATGTTTTGAAGAGCACAGACATGCTGAATGAGTTGCCCTTTCAACGAACACGGGCCTGATGAAAGAAATGTCAGATTGTAATTTAGCTCGGCTCTTTTCACAGACTCCGACGCCACACATACACACACCCACACACATACACTCTCTCTTCCCATTCTCATCCAAAGACTTTGGCAGATGGAGGCGTCTTTGTCTCTGCAGAAGTTCCAACCTTGAAAAAGCCACCCCCTCCTCAGTTTAATGAAGGCCACAACAGCGGTGTAGTAATGACTGGATTGTGTACAACATTATCCCTCCCCCTCCTGGACTGAGCCTTTGTATTCACCGCAGGCCGAGCTTCTCCCACCACAGAGCAAGGGAGGGGAGAGAAAACAAGCGCGTCTCCCCAATGCTAACTCAATAATGACTTCCCACGGGGGAAAGAGAATACGGGGCAGTCTTTGAAGTGGCTGTGCTGCAGGAGGCTTTTCTGCCCCAGCCTCTCTACAGGAAGCTCTCACATGGGTTTTTATAGAGCCTGGGACCTAAACAGGCTCCATACAGCCTGCACACACTCATCATCATCAGTCGAGGTTAGATTAATGTCTAGATATCCTGTAGTCACTGTGGGAAAACGTTATTTGTCATTGTTAAGAAGGTTGTGCAGGATTTGGGGATCTTAGCTCATGTTGTGCCTGTCTTTATCAATTCTCATACATGGAGACACAAAAGAACTCAGTGTTTTTCACCTCTTTAGACAACCTGTGTGTTGACATGATTGCGTATGGAGATTATAAGCTTTCCTCACATGAGACAGTGTGTCCAGTACTCATCTTTAGTTTGTAGCACACAGATTGATTTGGAAGCTCTGCCAGCATGATGCATTCGTGTGCTACTGTATAAACAGGAAAATCAGCTTCCTATACACAGACATTAAGCAGACTAATTTCCATGATTGAGCGATAGCAGCGTTAGTCGGGCGGTCAACCAAATTCGGTGCAGATATCCACGGTGTCTGTTTCCTGGAGTGCCACCAGGAAGTTGACATTTGAGGTTTTGAGTGAAATGCCTTTGGGATGGCTTGCCATGAAAATTTCATGCTTCCCTCGGGATGGATTGCAATAACTTTTTTGATCCTGCATCTGTTCACTGTCCATTTAGGTCATTGGGTCATATTTTAATTTGTCATGTAGTTTGTTTTATGATCAAATACCTGCTAAACTAATGGCATTCCTATCCCAACCAACATGGACCTAATACCAATTTTCCTCCATATCCTTCATTCTTTTTTGCCAATATGGGCATAAAATAAGTCTTAAATTTCATTAACAATGGTCAAAAGGTCTTTAAAATCCTTGTTTCAAATACCAATGAGACATGAAATAGTCCTGTTATATTATTATAATAGATGAATTTGAAGCCAAAATGCTGCACAGCGGTTTATACAACTGGAAAGTTACCATGGCAGCAATTATTTTATCGTCTTTTGTGCTGATTGTGAGGAAAGCAGTAGAAATAGGTTATGTAAAGTAATCCACCACAAACGTACACTTGCAAAAGATGGCGCCTTGCTGGATGACGTCAATTGCGTTGCAGCAAAAGTTTGCTGGAGTCCTCTGCGTTGGCACCCTCACTGCACCACCAGCGTGGCCCCATTTGAACCCTCACAGAGCTGCTAGTGTGGCTGTAGACTCGTAGTCTAGTTAAAGAATAAGTCTGGCATTATTCTATATTTTTATTAGCGTCAACATATCCAGACAATTAGTCCTTCTCTCAGTACTTTCAGACTTCCCTGTCTGTGGCCTCAAGCCCCTTGGTTCCTGCTGAAGATGGCTTTCAACAAAGGTCAAAAGTATGTATTTCCATAGTTTGAAGAATGCTAAATAATTTCCTAGAACAGCTGGGTACATTTGATAGGATTTAAAGATTTTTTCTTAGCTTGAGAAAGTCGTGCATTTCAGCGGCCCTCACAGCTCCATGACCGAAACCACAGGGGAAGATTTTGAAGAATTTTTCTACATTCTGAGCTGGCAACCTGCCAAAGCATCTTAGGAGGAAAATCGACTTTGGCTGCTGTTTTCAAATTCTGCCACGTTACGACAGAGAAAACTGCCAAAAACATTTTTGGACTAAGGTGCCTGTAAGAAAGACCAGTCTGTCTCTGCACACCTCCCTCCTTCCCCCCCCTCACCCCCAGTCAGTTTATTCCTCTCTGTTTCTCAGTGTACAGAGGAGGATGTGCGTTCATATGATACAGCGCACCATAAGATCTCTTTACACGGTCCCTCCCCTAGCTCTAAAATGAATCCACAGCCTCTACACGCTGCTTCCATAAACACGCTACTCTCCAGAATCGGGAGCTCATTAGGACTGCACGGTAATGAGGAGCCATCGTGGTGCTCAGCAGTGGGTTAATTGGGCCAAAGAGGGCACCGGGAGCCGAGTGTGAAAATGTGAATGGCAGCGGAAGAGTAGTCCCTTCACACACACCCCAGCACAGCTCGCACACTTTATCCCACCCTGAATGGACAACGTCTGAATCGCAGTGACCCGCAGAGGTCACCTTGTAATCACCATGGCAATGGGGGCGGCACACACGCCCTAACGGCACCGGGGGACGAATAGCAACCACTTAAGGTTTTGGCAGCATGGCAGGCATTCCCAGCGTGAATAATGTGCAGGCGGGGGCCTCCCAACAATCTGATGGCTTTACACAAATGGGGCCTTGTAGGAGGACATTCATCAGCAATAAAACACCTTCTCTCTCTTTAAGGAGTCTGTTGTGTCTTCTGTGGCGACACAACTATAAAACTGAAGCTACGGACAGGAACATTGTTTAATGTAGTGCTTTATGAGGGCATTCTCTTAATCTTAATCTTTGGAGACATTCAGCTGTGGGGCTGCAGCTCAGAGGCCATTCTCTCTGTCCAGACTTTTATTGACTGTATTGCAGTCAGACTTTGTGCACAACTGCAGTCTGTTGGGCCTTTCAGGGTTGCCCTGCTTCTATTCTAGAGGGTTTATTCTCACAATGTGCCTGTGTTCTTTCTATTAGTTCCCTCCACAGCCGGATTGTTGGGTAAAATATCCAGTTTAAAGTTCAAATCAGACTATAATGATCTTTTTCTCTCTCTGGCATGCATCGAGTCAGATACTCAGGAATTGTTGGCAGCTCTTGAAATCATTAAAAAAGAGAGCGAAAATGTATTCTTTAGAATATTAAAATCACATCTTGTGTGGTGTGAAAGGTTCTTCCTCATTGTCTCTTCCTCTGCGGACATTGTCTGACTGTTACTGGCCACAGCTTCCTCTCCTCTTGCCCTGTTCGCAGCCTCTAACTGTTTGCTTAGCCTCTCAGAATGCCGAGGCGAAAGCGTGCGCGTGTTTGCGTGTGCGGACCGAGGTGGAGGAGGGAGGGGTCCGCCTCTCTGTAATCCCTCTCAGTCTCTTATCAGCTCTCACAGGGAGAGCAGCGGTGGGGGAGGAGAGGAGCCCAAGCCGCGTGTATCAGCGCTGCTCATCTGCCTACATTATTAAACATCCATATTTCCATATTTCATTGAGCCCCCCGCGCCTTGGCAAATCGCGGTCTACTTAGCATTCAGATGAGAATGGGATATGGTTAATGGGTATTAGATTTGTAGATGGTTATCCTGTGGCTATGTCTTTAGTACGCAGAGCCAGTCCATCAGTCAGTCGTTGTTCCTCTCTCTCTCGGGTACCACTGATGAAGTTGTAGTTGGATTTTTTTCCTCCCTCTTTGCGTAGTGGTACGCCAGGTTTATTGAGGAAAGACAAACTTTTTGCTCTCCTAACTTTCCCACTCTTTTCTCTTCCCAGGTCGAGGAAGATGGCAGCCTTAGGCGCGACGTTGCAAAAAGCCTCCCTGCGGAAAAAAGACTTGGAGCTGGAACTTGAGGAGCTAGAGGAGGCAGCCACAATGGTGGCAGAGGAAGAAGAAGAAGAAGAAGAAGAGGAGCAGGGAGCTTCCAATAGCGCTCCGATATCACATGGTGACAGCAGCAGCAGCAGCAGCAGCAGCAGCAGCGACTCGTCTGATGAGAGCGAGGAATCTGAGGCTGAAGGGCAAGGCTGCACCGAATCCAACGAGGGAGGAGGAGGAGGAGGAGGAGAGATGTGTAAGGACAACCCTCTAGAGCTACAACCCACCTCTCCCATCACCCAGGAGCCCACCAGCACACTCTTCTCAGAGGAGAGGAAAGTGGACACCCTCCCCTCAGCCTCAGCAGGCTCCAGACAGCTGATCCAGGAGCTGGGGGAGCGGGTGGCAGAGGAGCTGAAAATCTCCCAAGACTCCAGCTACGGAGCGGAGAGGGACTGTTCCCAGCCGAGCAGAGCTGCAGCAAAAACTGAAGTAACATCTGGGAGGAACAGCAGTGGGACTCTGTTAGAGCTGAGCCCTCGCAGAAACCCTCTGCTCATCGTCCAAACGCAGGAATGATGATGACGATGAGAGAGACTTTATCTGCTGACAGAGAATGTTGTGGAACCTGAAAGACACTTTTTGAACTGTTAACTCTGTGTAAGTGATGGAAGAAAATGGGTTTGACTATTTGGTTTTAATAATTTAATTTATTTTTAATTTGATGCCTCTTCTTTTTGTAATACCAAGCTATGAGTTGTGTGCTTTAACCCTTCTCTAAACGACCTCATTTCATACAAAGAATGATATTTTGTAAATGTATAAACCTGCTAAGCCTCATTAAAATCCTTATTTCGTATTTATGTTTTTTTAATGAGCATGCTTTTAGTTTTTCTCATTTCATTAGAAGATAGAAGAAGAATTAGAGGCAGCCCTGCTTTCTTATTCTTCTTCTTAGTCTTGCTCTGTATTCAAGCTGCCTACATGCTATATAAATATATTGTTACTGTAAACAAACTGTTTGATTTTTTATAGAAATTATTTCAGCTCTTTTTTTATTATTGAAAGAAATTCAGTTTGTAAAACTATATTTAGACATCTGCTAATAGTGTACAACATCTTTAGTACCCATGTATATTCCCATGCCCATATTAAGAAGAAGAAATTAAGAAATCTGTATGATTCAAGTTGGACTCAAATAAACAAAACAGGGATGCCATTCCAGGAAGCTGACAAACATTTATCATTGTTCATTGTCGTACATCACTCAGCCCAAAGTGCCTGGCAGAGCTACTTTTAGAGAGCTATTCTTTTCCTAATAAATAGTAGGAAAAGCACTAACCCCTTCCTAAAGCCCCAGCATTGATTGAAGTGGAAAAGACTCTGCCGGCACTAAACAGGGCTGCGGAGCACACAGGAGTGATTGATTCATCTGGCATGAATGGAAGAGCGCCGTCAACACAGCTCAATATCATCGGCCGCGTCTAGCAGGCGAGAGAAAACAAACAAGGAAGCACATGTCAGGCAGATAGATGAGGGCTGCGAGCGAGGCAGCGGCGCAGGAGCCGTTTGTTTGAGAGATAAGAGCACCCCAGGGCCCAAGGCAGCAGCGAGATAGAGGAGCAGGAGGGCCAGCAGAGACAAACTGACACTGGCCAGCTCAGGCGTGGAGATACACATACAACGGGGGCAACGATATCCACCTACCCTGCAATAAAATACATTTTAACTTGTGTCCCCTGAGTGGACTCGTGTTGATTACTGTAATTGAGGGAGAAAGATGAGATATAGAAATGACCCAAATTAGCAGAATTTCTCGGGTTTTGTGATCCTAATGGGTCATAACTGGCTGAGGGAAAGATTGATCGAGCACAGCACAGTGTTGCCTCGGGCTTTTTTCAAGGTGAATCTCATCCTGCATGAGTGAAAGCAGCTCAGGAGCCACCGGTGATGATAGCTCCTTAGGTAGGCGGTGTCTGTACTATTGTGTTACCAAGATGGATGGTGTTGTTAAGCGCCTCCCAAGAAGAGACAACCTCCTTGAAACACCCCCATTGGGAGCGAGCGCCATCATTGCTGTGACTGAGATGAGTTGCGCTGTGAAAGTCGGCCCATTTAAAACCCTCCTTGTTCTGGGGACATGAGTCCAGGGACTGCGAGGCCCCCGCAGGCGGTGGCTCCTTCTCCCCACTGGGGTTTCACATTGATTAAGTGACACTGGGCTCTGTTGCCGTTTTTCATTTTAAAGTGGCCTCCATATTCCCCCATTAGTGCAGCCGTCTCTGAGCCTGACCGGGGGATCCGTGGCCAAGCTCGACACTTCAGTAGGTTCTTCTGCAATTAATACCCCTCCCCGACTGACATTTTTCAAGAGCCCGGTTTAATGAAGGCCACTGATAAATTATACAAGGCAGTAATTAATGTGATGTCTATGCTCTATTTTGACTCCGATTTGATAAATCAGACCCTTACTCGTGTAACGTGTGCGCCCTTTGACCCTCAAGGGTCTAAGGAAATGGAGTAATGTGTTCAGGACTCCTGTGGGCCACCGTGGTAATTAGCCCATTAGCAACAGCACACCTCTGATAAGGAAGTCTACTATGGCTTGTGATATATTTGCAATGGATATGCGTAGGCAAACGGCTGCATGTGTAGCATTCACTTACCCAGAGAATGAAAGAGTAAGATCACTAGGGGACAGCTCAAATCATCTCAGACTTCCGCCAGGGCAATAGGCCAGCGTTCCATGATGTGCAAATCTGCAAGCGCAACCACTACGTCTGTATTACAACTGACCGATGTTGCAATGTTAAGGAAAGCGAAAAAATAATGTAATCAGGCCAGTAGTTTTTCTGTAATCCTAGTCTGGTACATAATCCCCCCCATAAAACCACATCACTTTATCACATGATTTAGACCTCAGTTTGTGTATGGTTCAGACTAACAAGATATAATATGTTAGTGAGCTTTTAAGGGGCAGATTTTCGTTTACCGTTGGACAGAGTCAGGTTCCAGCTAAGCTAAGCGAACTGTCTCCTGGCTGTGGCTTCATATTTAATGGCCAGAGTAAGATTGATCTAACCAGAGAAAGCAAGCAAAAGTATGCCTTTAAATCAAGGTGCACCTTCATATGTCCAACATATGGAATGATATCCAGTATGAAATGTAAGTAAAAGCGGGGGCTAATTGCATCTTGCAGACGTGCCTTCATTTTTGAGGATACAACCAAAAAACACTACATAGCTAAATGTAAGTAGTATATGAGAGTTTTTAGACTTAAAATGCCATCAGTTGTATGTATAGAGACAAATTTGGCCATATGAACTAACACACTTATTTAAAATCACTGAGGTTTTATGTCTTTGAGGATTAAGTGAACCATTTGGTCCTTTGATATAAAGAAGCTCTGTGCATTTACTGTGACCTTGCTTGCACTCTGAGTAGGAATTTAAAAATGATCTCACTAATGTGATCACGGGTCCCCTCTCTTGTTTTTTTGTTATAAGTGGGAAAGGCAGCAGCAAGGACAGTGCCGTCACTGCCCCCTCTCCCTGCGACACGCTGCCTCGCCTTGATTGTAATAGAAAACTCAATCTCCTCTCCCGTTCCTGAGAGGCAAAGTGATTCTGGTGCTTGAAAAGATTAATAACCCTCAAGAAGAAATGAATCAGGTGCTCTCCAGGGCCTGACCCCTCCAATGGGCGCGCAAATAGAAACCCTATTCTGCACCTTCTTTCTCTCGTAGCTGTTTCGCCTGGTGCGGCTCGGCTCTCCCTTTTGTGGCCTTCGTACTGTGTCATGTCGCTCCAGGCTTGGCCGGGGAAGAGACGAGGAGCGGCTCCGGTGCTCACAAAAAAGGGAAGCAGGTGGCCGCTCCCCTCAGCTCATTCTTCGGGCTTTGTAGTCAGCCCTCTTGAAATGACTGGCGTATGGTAATGAGGGAACGAGTGCATGGGATGTGTCAGTGTCTCTCAGGCTGACAGTGCTGGCAGGGAGGGATTATCTAAATGGGCTATTTTCATGCTCTTAATCACAAAAGAAACAGTGAAATACCACCCTTTCCGCAGTGTGTGGGAGCGTAGATGTGTGTGGCTGCATGTTGACAGCGTCGGCATCCACTTGTCGTCTGTAGCGTTGCCTGGCTGATTCACTCTAATTGGTGTGAGCAATGTCCGTTAAATCACTCCCTAACTCTCAGTGGACATGTGCTATCAGGCAGCTTAATGTTGCAAATTGCCTCTGCCATGCTAGCGCTGCGTGTGTGTGTGTGTGTGCGAGAAAGCCTCTCATTACAGCACCTTGTTAAGTGCGTTGGGGTTGCAGGGATGCAGAGTCACCTGGAAGAGTAGATGCACATGAGGCTTGACTTCTTCATACTCTGACCTGCGGATATCTAAATGCACATTTTAAACTCTATACACTTCCACTTAGTACATTACAGCGCTACCCCCTGAGGACATGACAGCTGAGATGCTGTACAGCTCATCAAAAAATTTCACACTAGTGAGCAACAGCACATTTCTAATGAGGCTGCTTCCACATTGTGCTGTCTCGAGCCTGTTCTCCTTTTGTCCACAACAGTTGTTCCTTATCTGAGCCAGTCCACGCTCGAGCGTATGTCTCTGCGCTATCCAAAAAAGCTCTGGTCTCGTGTTTGTTTTCATAGCTAAAACAGCTGTCAAACACGATTAATATTTCAGTGAGAGACTGTGCTGGAGGGAACCTCTAAGTGCTAGGGGAGTTGGAAACAACAAACCAACGCTGTTGCTTTCTGGCGTTCTCCCTCTTCGGCTGTGTCTGCTGCATACATTCGCCTCTTTCCTGCTCTGCTTTCATGGAAGTGAGTGGCTCTTTTATGAAAGCAGCGCAGGATGGGAGTCAAAATAAAATGGGTAAAGCTCTCCTGGTTGATGTCAACAAGCTGTTGGTGTATCACTTCATTCTAAGCCGCGGTAGATTTAACAATCATCGTGCTGGTTCTTTGATATTTCCTATTCAGAGGCAGGCCGATCTTCGAGCTTCGTCAGGGGAGAAAGAGGGGAAACCTTTGAGCCCAACCTCGGAGGCAGCGCCTATGTTTGCTCTACCTTGTGTCCACGGGACGGTGCCCTTTAGCCTTCATATGAAGTCCACGTTTCTGCCCCTCTTGGCTCAGAGTAGAGCAGGCTGAGCCTCAGACTAATGATGCCTCACGGATGTTAGTGTGTTACAACCAGACAGTGAACAAAGGTTTTCTCATGCTCGTACTCCCCGAGCGCTCTGCAGACAAGCTCCCCCGACATTACCGACACAGGATCTTGACACAGATAAAAGCTTCTGCTTTCGCGTAAACACAGAAACAAACTCCTCTCCTTCTCTGAATTCGCTCGGTGTCAGTTCTGGTGGTGCTTCCATTGACACGCACTAAGCAAACAAACACACAGACACTCCACCCTGATCGCAGCCGCTGGAGCAACACACAGCTTCATCCTGCCATGTTTCATCTGCAGCACCTCCACGGCTCTCTTCCCAGTTAGGCCACCGCACTTTCTTTAACCTGCTCTTTCTATTTCATGCTCTGTCTCTCACACACACCCCCACCCCACCCTCACACTTGTGGCCTTCTTTCTTATTTCCACCCAGCTTAAATTCACTCTCTTTCCAGATGTCTTTAATGTCGTGTCAGCCAACCCGTCTTTACGTCCCACCAAGTCGTGTAGCATTTCCAGCAACTCTCCTTCTCACCCCTACGCATTTTGCAAAAGTTGGCCTCCGACCATAGTCCTCCCCCCTGGGATGTGTTGCATGAAAGCAGATACCCACACATGTGTCGCTATGCCGATCCTGTCAGCATGTCACGGATCGGCCGCCCGCTGCGAT